GGGAACCATTGTACACTGTTGGTGGGAATGTATATAAATTAGCGCAACCACTATGGAGAACAGTATGGAGGTTTCTCGGAAACTGAAAATAGAACTACCATATGATTCAGCAATCCTACTGCTCGGTATATATCCAAAGGAGCAAAAATCAGTATATGGAAGATACCTGCACTCTCATGTTTACTGCAGCACTATTTACAATAGCCGAGATTTGAAATCAACCTAAGTGTCCATCAACAGATGAATGGATAAAGAAAGTGTGGTACATACAATATATACAGTGGAATATTATATAGCCACAAAAAGAATGAAATGCTGCCATTTGCAACAACATTGAGGGAACTGCAGAACATCATGTAAAGTGAAATAAGGCAAGCACAGAAAGACAAATCTCGCTTTTTATCACTCACATGTGGGAGCTAAATGCTGTAAACAATTGATCTCATGGAGACAGAGAGTAGAATGACGGTTATCAGAGGCTGGCAAAGTTGGGGAGGAGGTGAAGAGGGGATAAAGTGGGGATGGTTAATTGATGCAAAAACATAGTTAGACTTAATGAACAGTATTTGATAGCAAAACAAAGTGACTATAATCAACAAGTTAGAGTATACTTTAAAATAACTAAAAGAGTGAAATTGGAATGTTCTTAACACAAAGAAATGATAAATGTCTGAGGTGACTGACACCCCAATTACCCTAATTTGATTAATTCGCATTGTATGCCTGTATCAAAACATCACATATACCCTATAAAGACATACTTCTATTATGCACCAATAATAATTAAAAAGAAAATAAACTGAAAACTGCAAAAAAAAGAGATTAAATAATGTACATAAAGCACAATGCACGTGTTCTACCACTAGACGATCCTATTAAACGTTTAGCAATGATTGTATCAGTGTTTCATTTTCCCAAGATTTCTTTTCTTCTTTCAGTGCTATCTATGTATCTCTATACAGTCCTTTATTACCCCATCTCAAGCAAACCTAACCAAACCAAAGTCAGAGTCAGCAGAAGAGGGAGAGATTGGGGAGAGAGAAGGGAGAGACATTCTGACTTTTGGTCCAGAGTTTTCATAAATTTTACTTCCCTAAAACCTCTTCAAAATAGCATTCTTTTATGGATTTCCTTCTGAGCCAATTATATTATTTCAGCTCTATGAATTACTTTTACACTATTCCTAGTCTCATCAATGAAAACGTTATCTGTATTTCAAAGAGCCATGTCAGTCAACCTTTACAAAACTGTTTCTAATTTTCCTAATTAAATAGCTTTCTTTTCTAAATATTCATAGCACATGCTATCCCTCAATGACATTTATATTAAGCATTATATTGTTATTACCTGTGTACTTTTTTGCTATTTTATCCCCCAAACTACTTTTTAAGTTTCCCAAATTGTCTGTAATATAGTACTTAATAGGCAACAGATTCATGTTGAATTACAAACTATAATACATGAACCATAAACAAATAGATTTTTAAATTGAGATTATGTTTGCTATACAGTTTTGTACCTTGTTTTTTAAGAAGATTTGAATAAATGCTTCCAATTTTCTTCTGTAAAATAAATAAATAAAGCAAATGCCTTTTCCATGGTGGAACTCATGCTAACAAAACAATAATACGGGGGAAATTAGAGTAGGGAGTTAGCTGGCAGAGAGATGCTAGTTATTAACAGTACATCATTAGCTTAGAAGAAATGAGTGATGTTTAGATGCCATGTGGCATCATATAATATAGGCATATTAATGAATATTATAAAGAAATTTAATTTATATTGTTTAACATAACAGATGATGCCACACCAAAAGAGGAAATAATTTAAATTGATAAAAATTAATTGAAGTACTGGTCAAAAGTAACAGAATAGCAACAAAATCTCAAAATGTATTTAAGATATTTCAATAACACAGAGAGAATAAAGTATGGTAAGTACAGTATTGATAATCTCCTCTAGAATTTTTAATGTGAAAAACTTGAAAAGAAATTTGAAAGCAAAGTGAGAAAATCAAGTATATAGCAAAAGATCAAAAGTACTGGAATTCTCAGCCTTAGAGTGACAAATTCTAGAAGTCATAATAAAGGTTTATTATAGAGAATAGCAACATGGGCACCACCTGTGAATCTGTAAGAAATGCATATGCTCAAAGCCCTTTAGATCTAATGAGTTAATTAGACTCTGGGGTGAGACCCAGCAATCTGTGCTTTAACAAGTCTTCCAGGTGATTTTGATGCACACTAAAGATGAGAACCAATGATACGGAATACTGATATTCAACAGGATTAGGATACCATGGCAACACAGTATCAGACATTCTTATTCTTTTCTCACTTACAGTACCCACTATCAAGCCCACTCCTAACCCCTAATAAGTACTGAAGTTATCCCTCCACCCTCCCCCCATTCCAACCTATATGGAAACAGAATTAAGAACAGAAATCTTTTTTTTTTTTTGACATTCTGGAAGAAAACTGGGACAGAGTATACAATTAAATACCCTAACCAACTGTTAAAACCCACGTATGTGGGTGCGCTGAGGGATACTAGGAGACAAAAGTCTTTTGACAATTCAGAAATGCTACTGAACACCAAGGAGGTTTTCAGGCTTCGTCTTGTCACTAACAACCTTACTCTTAACTTTTCCACTGGCCATTTCCCAATTTGGGGAGATGAAGGGAGCCAAGAACATTTCTTGGTTTGATATTCAAATGAGATTCCCAAGTTTGCAGTTTGCAAACTTGAGGCTCCCAGTGCTGAGAGGCCTTTTGGGAAACAACTACATAGCTTTCCTCTGGTTGGACCTGGAACACTTCCTCTTGATTCAGATGCCAACAAACTCCACACCACATGCAGCTAAGATATACTTATTTAGGGGTACTTTTCTTTGTTCCGATTAGTAGTACATCGCCCTTTTCCTCACCATGAAAGATTCTTAGAGCAAGCTCTTGGGGAAGTAAGTATCTACTGAAAACTGCACTGAGTAACTCATAAGCATGTCTAGATTAAACAACAAGATAATTTATAAACAATATCCAAGAAACCATTTGAGGAGAACATCATTATCAATTCTTTAAACCTTTGATACATACTTTATTTCTTGATATGTCATCACTTTGGTTGTTTTCAAGTTTCTTTGCAAGTTCTTCACATTCATATTAAATTCTAAAGGAAAGATTACCAATACTTAAATACTGGATTTGATACACCAAATCACACTCATAAAGAAATCAGATATCTTCCTACTGACCTTCCTAGAAGTACATGGATAAAAAAAATCCCTATCTTCTAATTAATAATGGAAACTAAGGCATTCTCAATTAGCAACACCTACCTGTGTATCTCTAACTATTAATCATACATAGATCCATTGGATTAAGTCTGTAAACAATTTGCCAGTATCAAGTGATCATTAACCAAGCTGTCCTCACTTTTCGCATGAGAAGAAGAAATGGATTTAAATTAGGGAAAGGATATTAAGTTATACAGTCTGTATTAACTTTAATGGCATCAGAATGGACTAACCAGTGAAAGTTACAGCATCTCTCTCCTTTGAGAGAAAAGAAACCAAATATTTGCCAAGTGAATATTGAGCCAGGATACTATGGAAATTGGGTATAGGCCCTTTACAGACATTATTTAATCCTTACACTGCTACCACTATCACCCTCAGTTTGCAAATAAAGATGCTGAGGTTGGAAAAGGCTAAGATATTTCTAAGTTCACACAACTAATAATGGCAGGACCAAGAAGCAAACCAAAGTTGTTCTGACCACTAAATCCATTTTTCCCCAACACCCCTTGCTGCTTCTTAGTAATGTTGGTCCGTCCACAATAGAAAAGATGAGGTAGATAATAGCTTCCTATTCCTTGATTCTGTTTACTACTACTGAATCGACTACGGGCACTGGAACTATTCTACATTGATCTCACTGCCTAATCTTACACTGATCTCTCCATTCTCCAAATTCTTCATTTTATGCATTGCCTTATTTTGGCACTCAATCGTACCCCATCTTAAAAAGTTATGCTAAATGTATTCATATCCTCTATCTCAAAACAAAAACCAAAACAAACAAAAAACTCTGCAGGTTTCCAAAAGGTAGAAAGGTTTTTACACTTCCATATCCTTCATCAGTGTCCAGTACCAACTGTGGATTTGATGTGCTATTTATCTCTGCATTCCCCAAGGCTTAACGGTATGTTATACGGCAGTCAATACATGTTTGGTCAATACATGTTTGTTCAAGTAAGTAGAATGAAGGTGTGGCCATAAAGTAATACAGAACTGTTCTACCAAGGTTTATGGATTCAGTCTCATTCATTTTTAACTATAGCTCCTTACAGATGTTTACGTGTTGAATTTTATCAATGATCTTACAGGTGATAGAAAAAGCCTAAAATGAGCAAAGTGGTGTTAGCATCTAATAAAAGAGGATTTAGCACACTCGTATTTAACTAACAAATGTCAATGTCCTATAACGTTACAAAGTCTTATTTACCCGTTTCTTACGTGCAATATTGTATCGCTTTAGTTCACCTCTTTAAAAGAGAAAAGCTACTTGATAAAAAGTATGTTTTTGTATTTAAGTAACCAAGTCAGCATTCAAGACAAAAGAACTAGCACACGTGACACTACTTTTTAAGTGATTGCCTATTTTACTGTGGCCACAGCAAAGCTTTCTTCTGTAGTCTCATGAAGGAAGCACTAACGAGTGAACCCAACTGACCCCGCAAAATGCCATTCTAAATGAACAGTTGGTTTTTACAGCCCACATGGGGTGGAGGAAAAACGAGGCACCGACGCTAGACACTCGGGCACTTGTTTCCACGACCACCACCGCGTGATGCGCCCACCCGGGACATCCGCGGCGCCGCGGTCACAATTCCGCCCCCAGATAGGGTCCAGGAAAGGCTTAGCCGAGGCCAGAGGCGGCCTCGGACTCGCGCCCGAGAGCGCTCATGGTCGCGCTCCCTCCCTCGGCTACTGGCCGCACCTGCAAATCCCGCGCACTCGGGGGCCGCGGCACGGAAGACCTCCTCTCCTGCTCGCCGGGCTCGGCGCCGCCGCCCTCCGCCATCTTCCGCCGGCTAGCGGCGCCCGCCCAGGATCCGCTTCCCGCAACTTCCGGGTCGGTTGCCCGGCAACCGCGGGAAGGGCGGAGCTGCGCGAGGTGCATGCGCGTTCCCGCTCCCAGAGCCCGCGGTGTCTCCCCGCCCCAATTTCCGGCCCCGATTCGTCTGTCCGGTTTCCGTTTTTTTCCTTAAAGGAAGTTGGCCCGGAGAATTTCTCTGCAGGGCAATCTCCTTCCGCTTGTTTGACGGCGCTGTAGGCGGCTGTAGAGGGCAGCGTTGACTTGCAGGTTCATTTAACCAACAATGAAAACGTCCTCTGGATGTTTTGTATGATGAAAATTTCAACCTCCCTTTCTAGCCTTGGTCAGATTCTCTCATCTTTCCTGTCAAGGACTGGATGGTACATACCCCCCACAACATGAATTGGTATTGAGGGTGAAAAACAAGATAAACGCTCTATGCAGGCAGAAATGGAGACAGTTAAGCCCTTTACCTTCAACTGTGATTGATTGAAACTCTGTCTTATCCCAGGCACTTTTATGCCCCAGAAATACAAAGGTAAAAAGAAATAGTCCTGGTCATTATGAAACTCACAATCTAGTGGAGGAAAAGAGATGTAAATGGATGACAAAATGCGATTTGCAGTAGAGGGTTTGCAGAAGTATTGTAAAGGCACTTGAGAAACAGCAGGTGCAAAAAGAGCGCTCCTACCTATTTTTTTCTTTCTGTTAATGGAAAAACTCCAAACTCTGTAAAATAATTTGAAGAGATTTATTCTGAGCTGAATATATGTGATCCCGGCCTGGGGAACATGGTCTCAAGAGGTCGTGAGAAAATGCACCTTTGGCCAGGTTACAATTTGGTGTTATATGTTCATGGAGACAGGATTACAGGTAAAGTCATAAATCAGTACATGGAAGGTATACATTAGTTCTTGCTGAAAAGGCAACACATCTTAAAGCAGGAGCGTACAAGTCATAGGTGGGTTTTAAGGAATTTTTTAGTTGGCAATTGGTTGGGTTAAGCTTGTTTAAAGACCTGGAGTAAATAGAAGGGAATGCTTGAGTTAAGATGGGGGGTCTTCTATCTATTGTTCATGGAAAAGAAGCCAAACTCTGTAAAATAATTTTAAAGAGATTTATTCTGAGCCAAATTTGAGGACCATGACCTGGAGCCATGCCCAAGAAGCCTTGAGCAGGTGGACTCTCTGTGGTTGGGTTACAGTTTGGTTTTATACATTTCAGGGAGACAAGGATTACAGGTAAAGTCATAAATCAATACATGGAATGCATACATTGGTTTGGTCAGAAAAGGTGAGCCATCTTGAAGGGGGGGAGGTTACAGGTTATAGGTGAGGTTAAAGAATCTTTGACTTGTAATTGGTTAAAGACATGAAGCTTTGTCTAAAGGCTTGGAATGTTTTAAGATAAGGTCTGTTAATCAGAGATAAGCCACCAGACATATATTTGTTGTATAAATTGAGGACCTGCAGGTTTGTCGTACATACCCTTAGGCCTGTTAATGGGTTATAAAGGATGTCTCCAAGAAGGGAGGGGGGCGTGATGAGGCATGTTGGCCTCCCTCCTCGTGGCAGGCAATTTCGTTTTAGGATATCCCCTTGTCCAAGAGGGGGTCCAGTCAGCTGGTGTGGGGGAAGCCTTAAGATTTTATTTTAGTTCACACTGTCATGTCAAGATTCAGGTTGGAACGTAAGCCACATTATACCAGGTTAATAAAAACCTGTTTAATGATATTTTATCATTTGTAAGTGTGACTTACCAGGCAAATTCTTAGGAATTTGGGCAAGAGAAAAAAAAAGGTCAGAGTTCAGTCCTTATTCCTGAAAGCAGGAAACCAAACTTCCATGTGAAAGATACCCTCCCTATCCTAGGAGGAAAGATACTCTTATCACAAGAACTGGAGAGTTAAAATGGAAAAAATCTGTATGAGCAGTCCTTATTAAGTTAATCCATATTTTCCTAGTTACTTTTCCATGAGTGCCTCTTTGTTCAACTAGTATATAAGCACTTAGGCCTAGCCACTTCTTTGGATTTTCATTTTCCTGTGAGGATGCCCATGTACATGTAAAATTTTATTAAATAAAATTTGTATGCTTACCTCCTGTTTATCTGTTTTATGTAACTTTAATTCTTGGGCCCAGTTGGAGACAGAGAGAGTAGAGGAGACAATTTTCCTCCTTTACAGTGAGTTCCATGTGTAATTTTATTTATCTCTCTGTCAGGTAAGTATTGTTATTACCATGTTATACCCAAGGAAATCAGATGATAAAGACTAAATTCAGTCTGTAGTAAATGACAGTACCAGATATTAAACCTTGCATTTCTTGTCCTGTTACTTTTTTAATACAACATTCTACCCTCAAAATCCTTGACTCTTCATTAACAAGAGATGCCCCATAAAACCAATGACATTTTAGCTGAGTCTTGAAGGAGAAGTACTTCTTGTAGAAGTAGTAGACCAGAAAGAACCATGGGTAAAAGCAAAGATATGTACAAAGCCACAGAGATTTGAAACATCATGTCCTTGTCAGCAAAGTACTACTTGGTTGTAGCTTAGGAAAGTGACAAAAGATGGTTATGGGGTGGTGGGGAGGAGACAGATCTAAACTGGAGATACAGGCTTGAGACAGATTCTGAAGGATCTTACCTTAGATTAGAGGTGGAACATTACCCTCTGGGCCAGTGGTTCTCAAACATTGCTGCACCTTAGAATCACTTCTTCCCTCCCCTCTCCAGGAACTCAGATTTAATTGGTATGGGGTAGAACTCAAGCATCATATCTTTTAAGATGTTCTCCAAGTGGACTTTGCTTCTGATCAAGACAGTGTACCTGGTACTGGATTTGCCCTCCCACTCTTGACAACCAAAAAACTCAACAAAATATGTAAAATGACTATTTTTAGTCATTGAGCAACAGATATTACAGGTCTATGATATCTGAAAGAAGGAAAATGAGCAAGGTGAGCTCTGTTTGCCCTGGCTTTCTGCATGGAACTCTCAGGTATTGCTGGTGGGGTATAGAATGGTACAGTCACTTTGAAAAATAGTTTTTCAGTTTCTTCTAAAGTTAAGTATTCTGTTGTAAGACCCAAAAGTTATACTTCTAAGTATTGGTCCAAAAGGAATGAAAATATGTGTTTACAAAATATTTGTACCCATATATTCATAGAAGTTTTAGCTGTAATAGCCTCCAAACTGGAAAATCCAAATATCCATCAAAAAATGAAAGGATAAAAATGTGATAAATTCATACAATGGAATACTGCTCAATACTATTATAAAAAGGAAGAAATTACTGATTCACACACCATGGATGAATCTCAAAGATATTATCTTGAGTAAAAGAAGCCAGATACAAAAGAGTAAATATTGTCTAATTCAATTTATATGAAATTTTAGAACAGGCAAAATGAATCCTTAATGACAGAAAGTTGGTGGTTGCTTGGGTGCTGTTTCTTTAGGGAAGGATAAACTTGGGGAATTTGACTGAAATAGGACCTCTGGGAACTTCTTGAGGTGACAGAAATGTTTTATAGCTTGATTGTTGTAGTAGTTATACAGGTATATACATCTGTTAAAAACACACTTAGCTATACACTTAAAACACATGCATTTTATTGTATGTAAATTTTGCATTTATGAACTTGATTGAACAAAAACCCTGCTGAGTTGATTCTGTTGTCTAGGTATGGTTGAAAGCCACTGCTCTAAGGCAGTTGGAAGCCAGGAAACGGTTTTTGATTCAGGAAGATCACAGAGGCATCAGTGTGTAGGTTGAATCAAAGTTAGGAAACTAGGTTATTACAATAGTGAGAGGTAATTAGGACTCAAGTTTTATCAGTGGGACCGAGTATAGAGAGAAGCAAGAGTTGGTAAGAATATTAGGGTCAGAGCCAGCAGGTGCTGAAGACTTCAAAGTGGAATATATGAAAGAAGGAGGAATGAAGAATGACATCTGGGGATTTGGCTATGTGATTTGATAAATGGTGCTACCTGTAAATTATTGAGTTGACAGGGAAAGGCAAATTTTGAAGGAAAGAAACAAGTTTGTTAGAGACACTTTGAAGTCAAAATGTATGTGAGACACTCGGATGAAAATGCATCATGGAGCAGCTGCAAATATGGGTTCAAATATTAGGAGATTAGGTGATAATTTTGGTTTGGAGATACAGATTTGGGTGTTGATTGTAAGTGATAGCAGAGTAGATGAGGCTTCCCAGGAGCAGTGTGAAATGTGAGAGCTACAAGAACCAAGAACACTCAGAAACACCAACATTGAAGAATTCAGTGGAAAAAGAACATTCAAAGTTGACCCGAGGTGTAGTCAGAGAGGTGGGATGAAAACAAGAGACTAGAAAAAACTAGTGATGAGGCAGTTTCAAGGGGAAGATCAGTGATGCCATTTAGTACTATAATCAAGTAAGATTAGGACTAGAAGGTATCCACTGGGTAAGGGAAAAGGCGATTGCTGTCCCCAAAGTTACTACTAATTTCAAAGTTAGAGAAGAAAATCCATATTGTAGTAATTTCAGAGGGATACCTATGACAGTGAAAGCTACATTTCAATGTACTTAATATCAGTGATGTGCAGGAGGAGCCTTATATTTAATATTTGCTCATGAGAGCATATTATTAGAGTTTCAGCAATTTTGCAAGGCAGCTGTTAAGTACAGTGATTATTACAAATGAAATTATACTAAAACTAATGTAATAAATATTCAAAACTCATGATTTCCTGATTATTGCAATATATTTTACTATAATCTATGCTGTTGAGGTGATTTCCATCTATTGTATCTGTGTGATGGAGAACTGTGATGGTGGCTATTGCACACCTCTTCCCAACTCTGCATTCAGTGACAACATGTTGGTGGCTTGAAATCCACCATAGTGTTAGGTAGGGATGAGGAGGATAGGGAACAGATGCCTTGTCTAGGGGGTTTCCATTGAAAAACAGATGGTACTAGGAGGTGCTTTGTCTACAATAGGAGGAACAAATTGGCCAGAGT